GAATGCCTTTAACTTTGATATAATCTACCACATTGCCCTCATATCCGAGTTCACCTTCCAGCAGCATGGAAGCCTGTGGAAACTTCCTCAGGCTCCTACATCAGGTGGCTTTTGAACCCAGCTAGTGGGAAGCCTGTGCAGGAGACAGGAGAATGTGAGGTTGGGAGATGCCAGGGCACCTTCCATACCCCCTACTGTAGGGAGGCTTCTGCAGAGGCTCTATTTCCTCCATGACTCCAGCTTCCACTAGCCAGGGCTGCTGACTTTTCTATTTCTGTGGAGTGGTCCTGGACACCATGACCTTAGACTCAAACACTCAGATCTAATTTCCTGTTCTGCAAAATGGAGGGGGAATTAACTCACATCATTCAGCTATCTCAAGAACAAAACTAAAAAAATGTTTATGAAAATACATAACGAATAAACTGTTAGACAAATAAGGTGCTTGAGTGTCTCTGAAGTGAGGCAACGTGGTGTTGCAATAAAGAAAATGAGAGTGGGGTCTCAGGGTTACGTTCATGATCTTGCTCTGCCACCAACTGTCACCTCAGGCAGGCGACATGGTGTTCTCTTTCTCCTCATCTGCCAAATGAAGGTAACACCATTGATGATGAAGTGGTTGCAGAATGGCATAAAGAAGATCTCTGAAGATGTATACTCTCAAGAAGTGTAAAAAGCTACACAAATTCACTAGTTATAAGCAGAAAAAAAAAACTTTATTTCTCTCAAATTATAAAGGAGGAATCAATCTTCAAGCAAGATAATCAAAATAGTCAATAACACAATTTAACAGTTAGGAGAGCATGTACAGATTAGACTACAGGTCTAAATACTTTGAATTAAGCGCATACACCCAAATCAGGAGGGCTGACAGCTTTCGCACTGAGGAGATGCAGTGACTCATCGTAAACACACAACTTCTGGGAAACTGGAGCGGACTTTTCACAGGACAGTAAACCAAAGCAACACGCTGTCATTGGCTTAGAGAACAGATATGAGCTTCAGAGGAGTCACAGTGAAATGCCATTGTAATGCAACAATTTCCCCAGAGATCTGTTCGTCTCAGAAACAGGAATATATAAAAATCAGTAGTACAAATTCTCATAAAACTAGAAAAGCCCTCTGAGCCCTAACACCTTGAAGCTTACATAAGCACTGAGGTTTTTTTTCTTCCCTTTACTCTTCTCTAAATTAAATACAAAACAGTTTTTTATTTAGTACATTTCCGACTTTACAGCCAGTTTCAAAACGAAAAAGGTTTTATGAAATGGAATTAGACACACACCAACCCCAGGCAGAATCTCAAGGTGCAACGCTCCTCGGCGAAGTTTTAAAGAGGAAACCTTTTATGTCCACAGAATGATGCTGTTTCCTGGAATAGCCCGATAATTACCAGGAAGGAACGCACACCCATGCCATCCCAGGGTTCTCCTCCTTTTGGAGGTATTTGCCGTCTCTCCATCTCCCTCTCTCCCTACCTCTCCTTCCCCCACACAAAGACCCACACACACACCCACACACACACTGATCCAATTGGGGGGATTCCCTGAAGCACGCAGATAATGGCATTTATTTTGGCAAGACTTGTGCAACTTGTTGAAAAAAAGATAAGGAAGGGTGTGTAGGAACAACTGTCATGGGAGTTCCTCTCAACAGCTGCAGGAAGCAGATCTCTCTTCACAGCTGAAATGCGGCTTCATGGTTTCCCGACATCTGGGTCTTGCACACTTTTCATCTAGAAACCAGACTGGATCAGTTATAGGTGGAAAGGGATGATAACTTAGGATCAGACACACTCCCGTTTAAAAAAAAAAAAAGTCTCCACTGCTAGATTCTTCTTTTGAGACACTACATAGGATAAGAGAGTTACTAAAAATGCAGGGGAACTGAAAGGAAAGCAATTCATATCAAGAACACAACTTGGCCTTATGAACTGCATCTGTGGCAAAATTTGCTGTGGCAAGAAAAGATACTGTCTTTTAAATAAAAGGTAATACGTGAAATTCACCAGGTAGATACGAATGTCTCCCGAGATCCTGCAACCCAGCAGAATGCGAATGAGATGGGTGCCCTCTGCATATACAGTGTGCGACTACCACCAGGACCCAGGGTGCCAAAGGCAAAGATTCCAGGGACAAATAACACTGTTTTACCCATTTTAGAATGGGGCGCTCAAAGGAGAAAAAGGTACACAAAGGGCCCTTTTGAATTTCCTGATTCATCCCTATAGGGACATGAAAAACACAAGTTTAAGTAAACAGGATGACTTCAGTTTTTACATAAGGAGGCAGGATAACTGAGTATCTGTCATGTAGGGTAATTGCTGAGAATTTAATTAGACAATGCATATAACGTACTTAGCAGAAGTACCACTCAACAGTAACTACTAAGAACAGCTATGTCTTCACACGTTCAGAAATTTGTGGTCTTTATGATTTAAGCCAACCTCCAGTAGAAGCTGGCAAGGTGTTTAGTCAGCTCGACAGCTACAGTGAAATACTGAAATCAGTTGACAGTGAGCCGAATTTTCTACAATCCTATCTACGATTGCACACAGGCACCTTTCTATCTACAACCATCCTGTCTCAACAACAATTTAAAGGGTGGAAGAAGCCATGGCAGTATCTGTTCCAAGAATCCCCCTCACCCATGACTCTCCTTACCTTTTTCCTTCCCTACCAAAGAGGGGCACAGCTGGGGCTGGAGCTCTTGCGAGCGTGGCCGCTGGCGGATGGCAGGGAAGACAGGAAGCCGTCTCCCCTGGTTAATGCCAGAATGGTGTATGCCAAACAGAGCCAGCACAGCAGATGGCAGGCAAAGGTGTGAATGTGGCGTTCAGCATCAGGTTGGTGTGGAATGTGATATAGGGAAGACAGTACAAAAATCCAGGGTGGCTCTATGTCAGTGGCTCGATCACCTTCCGTTCACGCGCCAGCACTTCAGGCAGGATCAGTTTATCCTCAGAGCCTTATTCGGGGTATGAATAAGGGAGTGACTTGTTCCAGTAACAGGGAAGAAAAGTGAGTAGCATCGGGAGAGCTTCCAGCAGCCCAGGTCTACAGAGAGCGCGACAGCTGGGGGTGGCTCAAGGGTAAAGGCCCCTCCAGGGTATAACCCCATGGACACCAAAATGGTACGTGAGGGACACGAGCCCGACTCCTCCACAGATTAGCCTGGACCCAAGCCCTCTTCAACAGCCGTTCACTTTATAAACGAGTAGTTATAAAATATCAGGGCCTCGGACCTTCCTCTAGCAGCTCCCTTTGCTTCAGCAAAGGGGAGAAAAAGGAATCAGTCACATACAGAGCTGAACGTCACGTTAGCTGCTTCAGTGTGAGGCCACTTGGAAATGCTAGCAGAATCAAGCAGGCTCAGCACCCTGGCTTGGCTGGGATAGGACAGAGTAAACATCCGGAGCCAACTCAGGCTGCAGAGCTGGGGAAGCCTGCACGGGAGTCCTGGCTGCACTGGTTATCGGCAGCAAGAGCCCAGCCAAGATGCTTCACATCTCCGACCCCTGCCTTCTTTGTTTATAAACATGGCACCATGCCCATCTCAAAGGATGCTTGCAAGATTAAATGAGATGTTTGCTAAGGTCCTAGAACTACACCTAGCACCTGAAAGGCCTTCAGTAAATGGTACTTATTTTATGTCTGCCTTGGTGTTAAGAGGGTTATTAAATATGGCAATGTTTCCAAGTTCTAAGTTAAGGGGAAAGCCTGTTCAGGTAATGGAAAACAAAGTGAATTCATAGCTGACTAGAATCACAGAATATGAGGACGGGTAGGAATCTTAGAGACACCCCGACTACTTCCTTTTTGCGTAACTCTGAAGGAACCATGTGTGTGTCAGCAGAAGGAAAACCAAGAAAAAGATGTCCTTTTTGCTTTTGTCAAAATACCTGCAAGAAGACTTTAATTTTTTACAAAATTATGGGAACGAAAAACTAGAGAGCTGGCTGAAGAAAACCAGAAATAGACATTTTAGGCCACTAAGCATGAAATAAGTATCATCTTTCAAAGACCATGGAAAAGGTGTTTGTCTGTTTTTGGTCTCGCCAAGTACAGGACCCTCAATTGCTGGGCCACCTCAGAAACAGAAAACGCACTGAGACACCCAGAGGCTCCAAAGCTGCCCACAACTGTCTATTTTGCCGGAGAGAGGAGGGAAGGATGGAGAACGACAGCATGCCACCAGGGACCAGCCATTCCCCATACCTCTCTCGAAAATTCCAAAGGGAGTCTGTTCAAAAGGGAACTAAAGGTAGAGTTGTGAAGCTCTGTCTGCTTCTAGAAGGGCACACACTTTCTTTTCTTGAACTGTCCACCTAATAACCTTAACTCTCTACTTTCCCTAGTTTGTGGAAATGGTCTCCATGGCAACAGTAGTCTAAGTTGTGCCATTTTCCTCATTTCAGACTTGTTTTTTCTATGCCTGGTTCACCAGGACACCTGAGCCTTGCCCGTATCTTTTCACCCTGATCCCACCAACTGGCATTCACACGTGGCTCTTCAAAAGCGCTCAGAGTCTGTATCAGGTGCTGATGTTTCAGAGACCTGAACTGGGCATTTCCAGGGCATAAACCTAAAAAGTAATGCAGTGAGGTGATTCAGAGAATGAGAAGGAGACTGTTTCCACTAAGGCAGTCAAAGAAGAGTCACATGAAGGAAGAGAGGGAGAAGAACCGGCAAGAGCGGGGCAGTATCTGGACGGAAGATGCAGTCATTACCATCTGCAACACGGGTGCCAGGGACTGACTGGGGATCTGCTGAGACATCTTCAGAAAATAAATAATACGGTGCAACACAAGTGGCGTGCAGAAACGGGTAGGTTTTTTTCCCTCCAGTATGAAGAGTTAGACAGAAGTCACTCCCAGGAATAGCAAAGGACCTTCTTCAGGGACAATCACAAAGAGGGGTATTTATTTTTAAGGCAACAGGAATAAATTTCATTGTCCTTCCCAGAGGATTAGGTGGCCACCAAGTCTGAAAACCGGGCAAATCTTTAATAAATGGTTTATTGATAGTACATTATAAAGAATGACAAAACTGTATTATCTTTATTTCTAGACTTAATGGCCATCCCACAGAAAGCATCTTTGGAACAGAAAAAAAAGTTTTAAGAATTTGTTTTCCCATAATCATAAAGCTGTTCTACTCAGTTCTGGGCCCAGCTAGTGCAACATTCTCCTCAACCCATAGGCTCCATTCCCTTTACCAACTATTTATAATATGTTTGGGTCACTCACAGGAGAAAAACACTGTCAGCATCAGTATTTAGCAGCATTTCAAAATACATTTTTTTTGTCTTGATGAAAAAACTAAACTATTCTTTTAGTGCAGTCATTTCATGTGGCCTTATTACTTCTATACACAAGATACGATCCTTTAACATTTATGTAGGTAAGCATCTCCCATTTTTTTGAAGACTCCCAAAGACTCTGAGGATTTTATTTTTTCACAATAAAAGAAAAAAGGGCAGTGTCAACCCATGAGAGTCAGCCCAGCAGCGTTAAGGAGGCCCTCTGCAGAGCCCAGTTCCTGGTGCGGGAAGCGATCTGACAGCCTCCCCTCGCTCTCAGCTCTTAGAAACAGGTCTGAGAGGGATCAAAGCAGTAACTGTCTGTATTGCTTCATAGCCTTGGAAGAAAACAGAGGTTAAAAAAAATATACAGTCTAATAAAAAGAGTGGAAGCCAAATCCTTTCATTCCAGGGATGTCTGCAAAGGACAGATTCTATGGAGCATGGATTCAGAAAAGATATCACTCCTAACAGGAAAAATAAATCGTGGACAGTCACTCAAGGCCAGGGAAGCAACCACAAAAAGCAACTGGCTTCAAGCGCGCGGTCACCAGGAAGGACACATACCAGAAATCTCGGGACAAGGCGGCCTGGCGCTGTGGTTCAACAGCCTTCAGGAGACGGAGGGCACCAGAGGCCAACAGCGTCACGCACAAAAAGGCTACTACGGCAACAACGTGAGGGCCAGAGATCAGCTAGAGGTTGGGGTTAGACGCCGCCAGAAGCCCGGCCTGGGCTTGTTTTCTTGGGAAGGGCTTGAGATGTGCAGAGGCTTCGTACGCATGTGTTGGTGACCCTTCTCGAGAAGGCATAGAGCAGCCGCTTCAGGAACGCTTTCTACTCATTCGTTTTCATTTCAGTTCACCATTTAAACTAGAAAAGACGCTGTGAGCTATCCCCACTAGCTTCTACCTTGGACACGGCACCGATACTACACACACAACTGAATGGACGACATTTTCCTGGTTCTTCTGCCGGGCAGGCTCAGTATGCTTCTTTGGACTGAATAGGCGTGATCTTGTTCGAGAAAAGCGTGTAAACGTAGGGCCAGATTTTGTTAGTCTCCGTCCCGGAAAATTGGTGAAGTACTCCTCGGCTCCTGAAAAACAAAATCCAACACACGAAGGCCTTTTTGGCTTCCTCTAACATGACATGAGGGCAGGTGAAGATCCTGGGCATAAAGCCAGCACGACCTCGTGGCCTATCACCCACCACTAAGTGCCAACCTCTGCACTCGGTGTACCTAAGTAAAACCACAGCTTTTACGGTTCTGGCCTGCCTGCCGTGATGCCTCCTCTTCTTCTCCTGTTTAAAACATATCAAAGAGGGGCCCCTGGGCAGCTCAGTCGTTCAACATCTGCCCTCGGCTCAGGTCATGATGCCGGGGTCCTGGGCTCGAGCCCCGAATTGGGCTCCCTGCTCACTGAGGAGCCTGCTTCACCCTCTGCCTGCTGCTCCCCCTGCTTGTGCGTGCGCTCTCTCTCAAAAAAATAAAATCTTAAAAAATATATATATCAAAGAATAACATTATATGGACAACCCCAAATCTGCCTCAGGATACACTTTTCAAAAGACAAACCACTGACCAACTGGGGTACTGGAAAACCCTTATTACTTACAATAGAGCGCGAAACACAGGACGTATCATGATGACATGATCATAACTTCTGATCTAAAGGCTTGCTAAATTATTTGGGAGCTAAAAGGTAAAAAACTGATTCCACTAGTGGCTGCAGACAGCTGTCCTGAACGCAGTCTGCAAATGGGTTTTGTTCAGTATGCATGCTGTTAAGAATGTTATTTGTTGCCAAGATACAAACTGGGATTTCCACCCCCCCACCACTCATAGCCAGATTTCTGCTTCTCTTGAAAAACAGGGCTCACTGGCCACTCTGGGCCTGAGTGCCCCTGTGGGATAAGTGACTGGAGCGGCAGGGGCACTGTCACTGAACTGCCCAGATGAACACATCCCCCACTAGGTCTGACACTCACTTCCAACAGCTCCCTGGCCCCTGCAGCCATCTCACTTTGCCATCTGCAGCTTACAGTGTTTGCTTTTTTGGGTTAAATTCCCTCTAGCTGTATCTAGGCAAAAGGTCCCTTCTCATCCTCTATCCCACTGAGATATTTACAGGTGGCAGTGTCAAAATATAAACCCCTATTTCAGCCCCTTGAAAAAGAAAATGAAAATAATCCTAGACGTAATTTTACAACCTGACAGAGATGATTGGGTTTCAGTCCTTGTAGTACAGAATTTCAGCATAAAAGAACTGGGCTGTATCTCCCATGTGCAACTCCAGCATTTCCCCTGACACCCAGGGAGGAACTGGGCCATTAGGGTTCTGTCTAGGTTAAAGGCACACAACCCCGCCTCAGCCCTATGTCCTTCCCACTGAGCACCACGTGGTTCTGACTGAGCGTCTGCTGGGAAAACGGTGAAGCACACTCACTTGTATAATTCAATGACTGGCTTTGCCACATCCTTGTACTGTCTTAGCCTGGCCGCCACAGCTTCAGGTTTATCGTCCTCCTGCTGGACTAACGGTTCGCCTGTGATGTCATCAACCCCCTATAAATACCAGAGAAACCAGTTAATATGGCCAACACCTGAGGCATTCCAAAGATTAAAAACCTTCCTGTGCAAAATCCGTGTACTTACTTTGGACTCCCACTGCATGATGAATCAGGCCTGAGTGGCAACAGTTAACAGTGAAGTAATTGGAAAAGAGGTAACACTCTTCTTTTTTTTTTTTTTTTTAAGATTCTGTTTATTTATTTGACAGGCAGAGATCACAAGCAGGCAGAGAGGCAGGCAGAGAGAGAGAGAGAGAGAGAGGTGGAAGCAGGCTCCCTGCTGAGCAGAGAGCCTGATGCGGGGCTTGATCCCAGGACCCTGGGACCATGACCTGAACCGAAGGCAGAGGCTTTAACCCACTGAGCCACCCAGGTGCCCCGAGGTAACACTCTTAATAGTCATGTTAACCTTACTTCGTGAGAGCTGACATGGAATCTTTATTAAATTCTCAGATCTTTCCAAATACATTTCAGTGCCACTGAAAAATGATAGTTTCAGTTTACAGTTTGAAACTCCATGCTGCCTCCCTCAACCACAAACCACCTTTAGACAACGTCACTCTGGCCCTCTAAACATTTCTAAAACCGCCTTGCTTTCTAAAGTTTGAACTGTTAATATGGAAAATAAAATGTCTAGGACACCCAGGTGGCTCCATTGGTTAAGCATCCAACTCTTGATTTCGGCTCAGGTCATGGTCTTAGGGTCGTAAGATTGAGCCCCCCATAGGGCTCCATGTTCAGCATGATGTCTGCTTGAGATCTCTCTCTCCCTCTGCCCCTACTCCTGCTCATATGCTTTCTCTCTCTTTAAAGTAAAGAAAATCTTCAAAAAAAAAAAAAAAAAAAAGACAATGTCTCAAGAACCAACTGGTTTACTTAGGAGAACACTGATCTGGGAGATGGTATCTCAGTCTTGCCTCTGCTAACTTTCAAATTCTTTCCTGAGATTAATCTGACTCAGGTTATTTTCCTAGATTGCATAATGACTTACTTAGAAATAGATTAAAATGGGCATGGTGTCTCTACCTGTAACAATCAGGCAAAATTTTCTGAGAACTAAAAAACTACAATTTAGAAAACCTGATTTCTGATTTATTTTAAACCTCCCCAAGAAACATACCTACTTACAAGTAACAACATGGACATGTGAGTGTCTCCCATGTCCATGGCTATTACCCTCCAGGGAGACAGTCACAAGAAATAATCTGTCAAACGGAAGGCTAGAACAGAACCAAAAGGCTCAGGCAACTCAACTGGATAATCAGAAAGCAGCTATAAATCTGAAATGCACTAAAATTCCATTATAGGTCAGGGCCTTGGGTCCATAACCTGCACTGATGAGTTATTGGTGAGCCCTGTAATCATCACGTGTATTCCATGCTTGTTACCCTGACTCAAGAGGCAAGATGGGGGTGGGAGATGGCTGTACATCTCCTTTATTCTCTTCTCCTTTATTTAACTTAGAGCTGCAAAGCTCAGAAGAGTCATTTCCAGGACCGCAGAGCACCCATAAATACAACCACTGCTTCTACAAAGAACAGAATTGGTGCTAGGGTGACAGCATCTCTCCTTCTGGGAGAGCTTGGCCACAGTGGCTGGGAGAGGTGGCCCAGACTAGCATTTTCACCTGTCTTTGGATGGAGCACTCTAACTGTGGGTGTCTTTTAGGTATTCCAGTCTTTGGAAAGCAACTCAGTGTTAAAGGTTCTCTGACTTGACGAGAATCTCTGCTTCAGCAGGTCTAGGCAGGGCTAAAATGTGAAGCATTTCTTGTAGAACATCAAGGCATATCCAGAACCCTCTTCTCCTCTCCATCTATTTCTTCCCCTGTACTAGCTTCTTGAGAGGGAAAGGAGGAAGGGACCTAATAAATTCCAAAAGTATTCATTACCTTTTAAAAAGAAGACTTCAAATGGCAACTAGTGCTTTGCCCAAAGGAGCAAGACTCACTGAAATGTCACAAAACCATGGCACTCAGGAGCTGGGAAGGTGTCCTTACCCTCTTAAAGTTGGTTTTCTGTAGTAATTATTGACTCTATCTATATGCAGACCTACCTATCCCATACACATTAACCCAATAAGATGCAACTGTCACCCCTTCCATATCTGGAAGGCTACAAATAATTCTACCTAACACCCAGTAACGGGAGGTAAGAATCCCACTGAACTAATTCATGTCTTTACCAGAAAGAATAATTCTTTAAATGAGTGTGTTAATTTAAAAAGTTTCTTTAAACATATACCTTTACATATGTTTATTTCATGTAAACACGTGTTACTTTTGGACCTGTTTATTCCTCTCGTCCTCCCAGTCCCTTTAAACCCTCACTACCATCACTCCCATGACCCCATCCACTCTGACCCAAAGTCTTTATTCAGTCCCAACCCTCACCATTTATCCCTGCTCTTTCAAAACTAGAGAGTACATATACACACGCATACAGATAATGTGTAGAGGAGGGTCACTGTTTTACAAAAATGGAATCACAGTGCTATTTGCCTTTCATATTCAACAGGACCCAGAGGAAGTATTTCTACAGGTCAAACGGGATAGCACACAAAGTCATTCTTTTTACTGAGTATGTAATATTGCAAGATGTACATAATCTCTAGTTTATTTAGTCATCCCCTATAAATGAATATTCATTTGTTTTCAGATCTTTTCTCCAAAACCAACACTGAAATAAGCATCACTGTGTCCTTGACCTTACCTGCTGGTGCTTTCATTGCCATAACCTATACTCCCAGTGGTGGGTTGAGTCAAGTATGTATATTTTAAAATGTTCATGTATATTGCGAGGTTGTTTTTTAAAAACACTACTAATACTTTATATGCCTAATAAAGATGAGCATGCCATTTTTTCTAGGTCCCACCAGCAATAGGTGTTATAAATTTAATTTACATTCCTTGACCTAGTGAACGAGAAAGTTCAAACACTTTAGGCCATGCACATTTGCTTTTTCGAATAATCTATTCGTATCCTTCCTATGCTTTACAACTGAAATGTTTCACCTCTTTCTCGTCAGCCCGTAAAAATGCTTTGTATATTCTTACGTGTACATGGGGTGGATTGAAGTCCAGGTTATATACCCTTCCACTAGCGGGGTGGATCCAACGTCGGCTGAGACGATCTTTGAGCGTTTCAAATGGAATGTTCAAAGTTATCACTAGATCCAGCTCGCAGATTTTGTCCAGGGCTTCAGCCTGAACTAAGGTCCTAGGAAAACCTAAATGCCAGAAACAAGACATATCAGATGCAAGACATTTCCCAATTCCAAGGAGTCAATGGTGCATTTTCAGTTGACAGAATAATCGAATCTACACATACACCATCCAGAAACCAGCTTTTATCAGGAATGTATGTCGACCTCCAAAAATTTAAAAATAGAAGAAAATATGCTACTTTATAGCTCAGCTTTGACCTTTGGTATACGTAAAGATTAAGGAGTCATGTGACCCAAGTACAGAGTGCACTAAACTGAAAATCAGTAGACTAGTCCTCACTTTGCTCTTAACTACTCCCGTAACCTTAGGAAAGTTACATCACCTCCATTTCCTCTTCTGTTAAAGCAGCAAAGGAATAAAATTGTATTTGTGTTCTTTTATAGCTTTAACAGCTGATGAGTATATTATTCTCAGGCTACCCCTCAACTTATATTTTCATCCATTCCCTACATCTTACAAAACTCAACATGTGGTCTGCAATCTAGCGTAGTAACTGCAAAATGAGAAAATGCACTTAGGAATTTTATAGAAATTTCACAGTAATTTTAAGCCTAGTGAATCCAAAATTTATGCTTGAATATGTTTTTCTTTTAATTTTTCTAGTAATTTGCTCTTATTCTATTTGATGAAAGGATTGCTCTGCACCGGATTGGGGCGGGGGTGAAGAAACACAGCTTTCACCGCAGAGTTTGTTCTAGACTTCCCTTGGAGCTTATTTTCTAATTTCTCTAATAAGGGAAATTACCCAATAGTCCCCACAGTATCTAACACGTGATGTTGTTTATTACAGAAGGCATATAGATTAAGTTACATCTCTTCCCCAAAAGACACAAGAATGGTGAGAACGAAACCTAGGGCATGCTTCCACTCTATTGTCATGACAGGGAAAGAAAAGGCAAGTTTAAACAGAGGTGAGGGAAAGGTTACCTTGCAGGGCAAGATCTTAGTTCACTGGCTCTCCTGGGCCCAACCAAGGTACTCACACGTTCCCACTAGGCAAAAGGGTTACTCCAACATGACAGGTAACACCAGAAGAAACTTGTCGTGAGCACACTATGAAGGTGCACACACGAATTGTGTCTTTCCACAATGTCAGCTTTACTCAATCACAGAGCAAAGTTCAACCACAACCATAAGGCAGGTTCGGGATTCCAAACTCAAGGACAATTCACCATGTGATTAAACTTGGCTTCTTCCATAGCACACAAAGCAGGACAGAAGACAAGCTGCACAACAAGCAAGGTGAGAGAACCGTGTGGGAAGTTAAGGAACCCCACACAAAGTCGGTCTGTGGGGTGCAGTTGATAAGGCCTTGGCCTGGTCCGGGCTAGTCTCAGCACTTACTGCTTCTTATGTTCAAGCCGGGAAGGGTCTCAGTTCCCTTCGGAGATCCATCGGGCAGAGCCTTTTTTATTTTTTAAGATTTTTTTTTTTTTTTTTTAATTTACTTGACAGATCACAAGTAGGCAGAAGCAAGCAGAGAGCAGGGGGAAGCAGGCTCCCCGCCGAGCAGAGCGCCCGATGCAGGGCTCAATCCCAGGACCCCTAGACCATGACCTGAGCCGAAGGCAGAGGATTTAACCCACTGAGCCACCCAGGTGCCCCAGTAGTTGCCTTTTTTAAGTGGTCAGACATAGAGGGGTCATGCCTGAAGAGTTAATAGCTCGCTGCCCAAATCCTTCCCTTTTAAAAGAGATTTTATGGGCTTGGGGTCTCTGCAGACCTTCTCCAGTTCTACTCATTATCAGTTCTGGGTGTCAGCTGACATTGGTCCCGGCAGTATCTCCAAGCTGTGGTACCTTAACTGCTTGCTTGGGTCATTGCTTGACATAGGTTGCCTGACATGAGAGACTCCATTTTGCTCCCTCCAAAACTGCTTTCACATTCTTCTATGCTGACTTCTTGTGACCCATCACGCATTTGATGTGGTTTTGGAATACAGGTGGGGTGAGGTCCACAACGGACAACCAAGAATGAATTCTTGAGACGTCTTTGGTGCAGAATGGTGGCTTATTAAAGCACAGGGACAGGACCCGTGGACAGAAAGAGGTGCTGCATCAGAACCTTGAGGAGTGGTGATTATATACTCAGGGATTGGGGGAAGTAAGGAAAACGGGAGGTTTCAAAAGAACTTTCATATACTAAAAAGAGAACCAACCTATATGACACCTGCAAGATAGCCTTGCCATTGTCAAGTTAAGGTTGTTTCCCCCTCTAGCAAGGTATTAACATTAAGACAGTTGGGAGATTCCTGGAAGAATGCCACACTTGTCCCAAGGGGTGGGGGGCGTCGTTCAGGGGGTCAGTGGGCTTTGCCTTCGTCTAGCCTTCATCACATTGGGACTGGCTTCAACAGAGAAAGAGGCATTTCCAATCTCGCAGCCCAGATGCTACCTCTTGTGCCAAGTCACCCACCTGTACTGTCTCCTTCCTCCCATAGTGACTCTCTGGCTAAGCATCCTCTTCACAAAAAAGGCACCCACACCACACATTGGGAAATCACGTGGGAAGCATATTCATGGTGGTTTTCTCTGCAGTGGGAAGATGGCTGATTCCTTTCTACTCTTCTAATTATTAACTAAGCATATAGTACATTCAGAATGGAAAGAAAAATACCTTAAGTAAAGAACTGCTGACTAGCTATTTTCCAAATCTCAACATAACTTGTCAGGTCAAGTTATGACTACCTGACATTTAGGGAAGTGAAAGGTCAAACTTTACCTCAGATTAAGTACACTACACACACTTAGCCTCAGCACCGGAAGACAGCAATGCCTGGCAGGCAGTGGGCAAACATTTATGTGTAATATTAGGGTAGCTGTCTTCTAGTCTTCCATTCGGTGGCCATATTTATTTGACAGTTGCCTTATTTTAAACTCTGAATTTAATTCTGTGAAATATAGGTCTCTGTCAAGCCCTGTAAACACAGTATGTCAATTTTTTCTACTATGGAATGGCTTGACTGCATGTACATTAATTTATTAAGCAACTATTAAGTTCAAAAACAATTACAGAATCAGGGCTTCACAGCACCTAGGTGTATCCTGGAGCTTCAAATACATGATAGCTACCAGGTAGATAACAAAGTCATACTACCTGCGTCGCCAAGGAGCATTTGGCCCCAGGTGGGCCCTCAGGACTCAATTCAATCTATGGCAACTTAGGCTGGGTGATGGGCAAGGAGTTTCAGAAGAGTCCAGATAAAACCATGCCTGCCTCCTTTATTTTTTCCACCAAATTCCTTACTGAATACTGGACACCCTCAACCAGGTCCTTTTCTCCACCTCCCTCCCAACAGCTCACTGCAGGTCAGACTGGAGATGCTGTAGAGAAGTTTGGTGGCAAGTCGGGACCTCTGCTAAGTCTATTAGTCAATGGTAGCCCAACTTCCCTTACACTGTGTACCAGTCTGCTTTAGAAGACGAGCTTCCTGAAATGGGATTTAAGACACACGTTACTCCCTCTGTCATCCTCAGATACTGTGCCTCGCACATTCTACATAGAATCCCAACAAAGAGAGCAGTGAGCCTTCTACAGAAGGAACTCTCACTGCCTGCCATGTCCTGCCTTTTCCCTGTATAACCAACTCCTCCTGAAGGCTTCAAATTAACAACTTGAGTTAGATACTGTGGCCAAAACCACCCCAAGATCAATCTCTATGTTCTTCCCCCAAATCCCTTTTTAAAGAAAAACTATGTTCAAAAGCAGTGGCTTCCAAAGTAACTCTCAATGAGTACAGAAAAAAGAGAACCTATGTTGCATTGTTTTGTTCATTCTTTTTAGCTTCCATTTTGGATGGTACATTTTATAAGGTATATATTAATAAAATCGTATGTGCATATAATTCACACAAATTCCTGTTTTGAAGATGCAGTCAACACTGATAAGTGTGCAAAAGAATTTAAGGGTTCACTCCTCTAAAGACCCAAGTTCCTGGCCTCAGGCCCTGGACTTGGGTTCTAGGGCCACTATCCTGACAAGAAAACACTGTTCTTTATCCTTTGGATAGAGGCTGAAAGGTGAATAAAGCACTAGGAAAGAACAAGAAGCTCTGAACAAGAATATGACAGTTCCTCCAACAAATAAAAGCTCAAATCCTTATGGCTAAAGTTTCCAGGTCTTTCCTGGACTTTCCTAGTCCAGTCGGCCCAACAGCCCCGCAATTGTTTCTGAACTCTGGCGCCCTCTGGAGGAATGGGTGGAAAATGCAACTGTGTATGAAAAGCTGAACTCAGAAGAACCTATTTCAAAAATGTCAGGTGGTGTCTACCTTAGGGCTCACATTCAGACCTGCTAACGACCAGAGAATCATTAATTCTGGTGGCTTAGAGGTCTTCTGTTAAGACAGTGGCTCTCATCATATCCTCCCATCCTCAAAACAGGTTTAAAGTTGAAAGACCAAGAAAAACACAGAAGCCTACAATGAAAGCAAAAATGGAAGAGTTATGGTTTAAGATGTTAATGTTGTTGGAATGCAACCATTTTAATGGTTTAGAAGTACTAACAAGAGAAATAAGTCATTCCTCAACTTCAAGGTTCTCCATCTGATGGCACTCATCAACATTATCAGGGGAGACTTGGGGTGGGAGGGGGAGAGCTCATTACTGCCCAGGTTTTGTACCATTCTTCCTATAAGGGAACATCTAGGAGCAGGAATTAGGTATTTTTCTGAAAGTTATCCAGGTGACTCTGGCCAAACTTCCCAATGACAGCAACACCGCAAGTGCAGTATTAACTACGTGTACATATCCCATTTGGGGGAAGGTTTAACAGCACTTCTAAGCAGGTCCAAACCACTTTGACAAGAGTCTTCTTGACCTCGGTTTCATGGCAAGAGAACTGGGAAGGAAATTCCCAAAGGCTAACCCTCCTAGACTCAGTAAGTGCCCACCTATCTCAAGCCACCTGTTCATGCCATTCCCAGCCTAGATCTTACCTCTACAGAGAGTGGTTTCACAGGCAAGAAAGTACAGGAAAACAGTGAGAACAGCAGCCTAGTCAA